ATATATTGTGTGATTTAGGATTCTTTGCTTTTATTGTATAAAAGATGAATGTTTTGAAAGGTGTACAATTGCTGACAGTAGCAAGTATGTAATAGAGTCATGTGACTGTTAAATCTTTTCTTGACATGCAAAAAGGCAAGCAGCGCTGACAAGACCTGAAGAGTTCTCTTACAAAGTGATCAACATTGAAGCCAGTGAAGTAAGTAAAGAGTTAACAGTGATGGCACTGTTGTTGTATTGTGCTGCCTCTTGTGAACTCTGGCTATTCCCAAGATTCTCCAGGCTCCCTAAAAGAAAGCTACAGGGATTACATCCTTTATAAATGAAAGGAATGTTTGCTCTAAGTTGTCCAGTAATGTTTCAACCAATGATTGAGCAATAGAAATTATTTTTTTCATGATAAATATTCCCAGATAGGAAAATCGCATTCCAAGTGACCAAATATTTTTTTGTACAAGGCTTTAGTTTCTACCAAAAATAAAAGTATTTTATTATTAATGTAGGAAAATGTATCTTGTGTGGTCATTTCCAGATCAAAGAAGACACAAAGGAGTTGATTTACGAAAAGCAAATAGGCTGTTGACTTTGCAAGGGAATTTTCTCTTAGCTTAAACTGACTGTTCCCCTAGAAATTAAACCTTAAAAATGCATTCAAGTACCTTACTTATTACCAAAAATGAAATGTATCTTATATGTGTATCACTCAGCTGTAGATCCTCAAATCATATCTGAATTCATACTGACACTGTCCTTCCTTCTGGAGGGGGGCTACTAGTGTTCTCAATGGTCCCTGTGTGTGAAGGAAGGACAACGTTAGCATGTATTCAGAGATGATTTGAGGATCTGCAGCCAATTAATACACCTATTAAAAATAAATTTTTGTTAATGGTTAAGGTACTTGAATGCAGTTTTAAGCTTTAACTCCTGAGATTAGTGTCACCTTAACAAATGTGAAAATTGAAGAATGCCCAATCACGTGCAAGAAAAATAAATGAAACAGGATTTTGTTCTTTGAAGTGATGGAAATCACTTCACCTCATTCACTAAGCTAAGGGAAAAATTGTATTGCAAAGTAAACAGCCTATCTGCCTTTAGTAAATCCACTACACTGTAATCGGCCTGAACAAAGCTGTGCTTCTGCTTTAGGGCCCATTAACACCACATCCAGATCATCTCCCGACCAGACCAGATTGTTTCCGGACCCAAAATGCATCCTAATGTATCCCTATATTATTTCTGGCCTCTGTTCACACCAGTGCAGTCCTTTCCAGACCAGACCAGAAAAAGACTGTATGTCTCATTTTGTCTGGTCTGGAATGCACTGGAACTGCGGGCAGGTCCACACCATTTTCCGGACCAGACCTGGTCCGGAAAATGGTGTGAACTTTCTCTTGTAATTGCAGGGACACTGGTGGGGCTAGATGATGAGTATTTGATGGTTCATAAGAGCCTGTCTATAAAGAACTGCAGTGCTCCTTCTCTGTATACCACAGGACATTGCTGGAAATACTGCACACTGAGCTAACATTTTAGATTTTATTAATAAAATGCAAAGGAGTGTGGAACCCCTGTTGCTATGTGTGTGTTTTCTGCATAAGGCTGCAGAGAACACTCACGAATAGCAGGAAAGCGCTGTCACATGACCTTAGACAGGTCATGAAACAGGTTTACTCCTTCTATCACAATTTTTTCTCCTAATGCATTGGTATAAATAGTGTTTCACTTATATTAGAGCCCTAAAGCACAATTATAAAGCACATAGAAGTACTTAATAATTGTGCAGGAGGAGGTTCGAATAGAACAGCAATGGTATGACCGCAGTTAAGCTGTACCACTCCTTTATAAATGAGTCCCTCTGTGTCTGTCTTAGGTGGGCAACAGCAAGCTATTAAGGTCCACTTTAAGGCCTCATTCAGCAAAAAGGGCTGTTTTTTTTTTTATGTGCCCAGAGCTGCGGAAACAAGGATGTGGGCAGCTCATGTAAGTCTATGGAGATGCATGAGCTGTGTGCCCTCACACACTGCTTCCCGTTTTGGCAACCACACACAGATGATGCACGGGCCTGGATCTATCATGTATGCACCCGAGGTTGTATACTGTCTGTTCAGCTGTCAAAATTTGGAGTTGAGGGAAGCGGCGTGTGGGGGGGGCACAGCTCCTGCGTCTCCATAGACTTACATGAGCTGCCTGCACACTTCTTCCCACAGCTCTGGGTGCAACAAAAGCAGCCTTACACTCTGTACGGGGCAATACGCCTGTGTAAACGAGACCTTAGAGATGCTTATTAGGTTACCTTTTCAGTGTTAAAGAAATGTTCCATTTTGCTTTTGCAGGACCAGCAGAGAAATAAGGAGCTTTCTCGCATCATGGGCGAGTTTCGATCTGATGAGACACTGGTACAGAGTACCAGCAAAGGAGATGATCTTCTAGCGCTAATGGATGGGCTGTGATGACCAAAATAAAACTTAATTTCTGTCTAGTCTAATAATAATAATGTGCATCTCAAATGCTGGGATGGTGACTGTTTACCATGCGAAAACAGACCTTTCTCTACTTCATGTAATGGTAATAATTCTGATGAGGAGCCAAGCAGTGCAGCTTGTATAAAAATACAGTGACAGGTCACTTTTATATTTGTAATATTGATGTGTATATATGTATGTCTATGAATATATTTTATCTGGACGTTTGACATATTTTTCCTTTTTTTTGTTTTATTTCACAGAGTGATCTATATCAAGACACGCACATTGTGTCATCTTACAAGCATGTTTATGCTATTTATTTGTGGATGGGGTGGGGGTGGGGGGGGGGTTAGGCAGTCATCTTTATAAACCTTAAGATACCTCGAAAACTTTGACCTATGAAACATAAGCATTTAGGCTGCCTTTGTGACACTTAATAGTCACTTTACTAGGCTTTCTGCTTATTTGCCTGCTATGTACAAGTTTAGCCGCGGACAGCCTAAAATGGCAGTTTCAAACTGAAACGGGTATTTTGTGCTGGGTTGAGAGTTCAGAATGAACATTAAAGGGTCTATTTATAAAAAAAACAAATTGCATATTTATTCATCCAGCGAAACTTTATGTACATGGTTCTCTGCAAATGAACCAGTTGTTGTGAGAATGGGGAAGATCAAATACGCTTAGGCTATTTTATCTTCTGGTCAAATGTTCTTCAAATAATATAGGCAGTAGTCAATCTGGAAAATACCACAGTATGGCCACTAAATGGAGCTGAAGATCATAGGAAATGCATACATCTTAGTAACAAGAGATACAATGTAACAATTCAAGGGAACCCTGGAAGGAATTAGCAGATAAATGTAACCATTGCTACTATGGGGATCTGGTTACATTCTGCTAATCCCCCCCAACCCGTTCCCCAGTGTTCTCTAGGATTGTTACATTGTATTTCTTGTTACCAACATGTATTTATTTCCTATGATCCTCAGCTCCATCTAGTGGCCATAAGGTGGTATTTTCACCATATTAGATACGAGTTCATGTTTGGACCAAAGCTCTTTCTGTACCGCCCAGTCAGCTGCTGGCAGGGAATTCCCCGTCCCCAGCTTGACAGAAGCAAAGGGGCATGATGCAATTATGTAATTGACCTTTAGTGGCTACATAGCCATATTGGGTAAATGTAATTTACTAAATATAGACATGTGGCCATAATAGGTAAATGACATCAGCACAAGTATCCCGCCCCTTTGTTTACATGCAGCTGCGGGGTGGGGAATGCCTGGCCCGCAGCTGATTGAGTGGAAGTTCCCATGGTACTTCCCTGTTTGGAGGAGCTCAAATTCAGACCAGGTTTGGTCCAAACCTGAGCTCATACCCGCCCATAATATTTGAAGAACATTTCACCAAAAGGCAAAATAGCCTTAAGAACACTTGATTTTGCCCCATTCTCACAACAACTGGTTAATTCGAACGAAATGATTAAGTTTAGCTGAGATGTTTGCTGGGGAGACAGTGCTGAGTGGGTTTTCCTAGTGGGATATTGCACATCCTCACAGTTATACAGTTATGTGTAATGGAACGGAGGTAAAATATACAAATAACTAATAGGTGGCTGATATGTGGCCTGTGTATATGTAGCTTTTGGTTGTCTTTCTAGGACTGAGACCGAGTCAGGCCATAATCAGGCCTTGTAGGCTAATCAAAAACAAGCAGAAGTACTTTTTAAGGATTTTTCAACATGCTGGACAATCTGTGTGATCAGTTGTTGACCATTTACAATTTTTTTTTTGCAAAGGTGCATAGGTCACTAGCAGTGGTGTAGTGATGAGAATAAGCACAGGCAGATCACACACTACCATAGTTATTACATATTATTCTCAGTGACAGACTTTATTAATTTATTTACAATAAGAAGATTGTGCGTCATTTCTGTTAGGAACCCAGGTTAATATTCTGCCTTACATTCTGTCATTATTCTGTGCTGACTGATTCAAGAAATATATCAATGTCCTCTTTCCTACTTTAAACCTACACAAGTACAATGAAATGTACACTTTCAAAAACAGTGTAGTATTTATCTGTAAATCACTTTATTATGGGACAGAAATCCAGGAAAGACTGACACAGGACATGACCATGCCTCTGTTTTGCATTGGTACCAGTTGTTCAATGTAAATTGTATTTTTATGGCTTTTATTAAAGATTTTAAAATAAAAGTGTCATGGTCTTCAAGTTTTTTTAAGCAGCAATCGTGTCCAGCCTGGGTGACAACCATGGCTTCCTCCCGAGGTAAAGTGGAGGAGTCAGTGTAGCCACCCAGAGACATGGAAAGTGTGGTTATTCACAGAATCACCAGGTGAAAGTAAAGGGGAAAAAGAAGACAAATGCAGCTACTGCATCTAAGGTCTGGTTAGCTGCATTATATTACATGTCTAGTTTAAAGGAAACCACAAATACACACAAACGTGAATAAAAGAAAAAAGACATTTATTCATTTTTTCCATTTGAACCTGCAAACTATTTCAACTGCGGATCATGGTGCAATGCTCAGGCTCCTGCAGACTCTTCCTCCCAAGCCCTGTCTGTACAGAGGTATAGACTTTCAGTTAGGGCACGGGAGGAATTATCGATGAACTACAAGTGTGGTGATACTTGTACTCCATTGAGATCTACGAGTCCCGTGGCAGATGAGAGTTGCAATCTCTCCATTCACAGATTGACAAAATATGACAGGAGCCTGCGAGGAGAAGAACCCCGTGATTAAGGTAAGTTGGGGTTTGGAGGATGTGACCATGCTTTATATTACACCCACATCCAATTGTAAATAAAACCTTTTACTTTATTTGTTCACATAAAACAGTTATTAGTCTTTGTATAATATAAATATATATACACACACACACACACACTGTGAGAGGCGGTTGTGTAATGAACCTATGCTGATAGATGCTTTTTGTTACATTGGTCACCTTTTTAAAGCCCTACCTGTGGTTTAATCAATCTTTGTTAATGTATTAGGGGTGTGGTGTCATCAACCAAGGGGTAAAACCCAATACAAGGTGTAGTATACTATTTCTCTACTAAACATTTACTCTTAGCAATGCTCACAATGATAACAGATATTGGGTTTTGGGTGGTGTGCTATATTCTAGACAGAAAGACTTTGGATCATATTCTAGACAGAAAGACTTTGGATCCTATCTAGTATTTGTCTGTCAGACACCTGTGCATTGAAATGGTTCCATCAGAGACACAGGCAGGCAATAAAAAACACACACAGTCAATAGCCACAGGCTCGGTCGATTTTCCAACATGGCAGAAGTTTGTTCATATAACATTTTCATAGACTAGAAATGCCAACACACACATTGTCCGCTAGGAGGGAAATTGATATTCATGCCTAACACAGCACAAGCAAACTGTAATGTATGTTTTAGATATGTGAGCTTCTGGTCTATCCAGGATAATCTTCCAGCAAACATCAAGAAAACTATCAGCTAGGGCTTAGATGAAACATTATTTACACAAACGACTGCAGTAAGGAACCTCTGAGACTCCCACTCCTATATTTCAACCTTGGGGATTTTTATGCAATTACTTGTAATAACAGAGGATGAAAAAATGAGGAGCTTGGTATTCTGCATCTAAAAGCAAACACAACTGTAGTGTCTACGAAATGTTATTCAAATGTAAAATGGGTTTTTTTGTGTGTGTGCGTGTATATTTGTTTTTTTTTTTTCATTCATTGACTCAATTTTTTAGAACAGACATATTTTATAAATAGCATTTAATCTAGTTATGTATTGATTGTAAATCAATCATTTCATTTGTTACGTACAACTCACTTTTATTTCAGATCTAGATATCAGCATCACACTAGGAAAGTGATGGGCAGGACTCTGAGCCAGGGCAATGCTCCTTACTTTATCTGACATTTGATAGGTTGTTGTTCCTGTCATTGGTGCATGCAACCTCAACAGTATTTTGCCGCATTTGCTAAAATATCATTTTGGTTTCATAGACTTTGAAGCTGAGATGCTTTGAAACGAGTTTATTAGTTGCTTTGAATAAAATATGTTGAGTCCCATAAGGAAAGCATATTGGTATGAGTAGTTGGCTATATACGCAGCACATTTCGGCTGGTTCTTGATGAACTGGTTGAAATTCACACAGTGGGTGCTGCTGTTGGCTCCCTTCCGCCTGGCATACTTCAATCAGCTGATAAAAAGGAGCAGGTTGGAATATTCTCAGCCAAACGGAGCTAGGATCCAATCAGCTGCAAGCTCCATTTGGGTATTCTGACAGCAGCCATCGGCAGGGGACTCCTTGATCAACGCTCGGATGGAGGAATCTGTTCTATTCCTTTATTTCAGCCTGCAGGTTGCCGCAGCCTGGCTTAAGAAAAAGAAAAGCACTGACCGCTTGTCTTTGTAAATGATCTAATATATCTGCACTATACAGGGCAAGACTAAGCAGGAGCATTGAGACAGATTTACCACAAGGTTACAGCTTGACTAATAGATTCCACCTTTGGCTGCTCTACAAAAAAAGACCTGACCCTGACCACTTATTTATGGCTCTGTTTAGAGTGAAAATCTATTTCATCTTCTGTAATAAATCTGTCACAGACCTTGCAAATCTGCCCGTTGGCTCCCCAGCAATTCCGATGTGAGGGTGGCGAATATACTGCAAATTTGTCGCAAAGACTTTTGTAAGTGATAGGCAGCCTGATTTCTATCTAAGGCCCTATTCACACATGTGATGAGGACCAGACAGAGGTTGTGAACAGATGCAGCTGCACAGCCTGTAGAAAGCAATGACAGGCGCCGCAGCTGTTCCCATGTATCCGACACGTGGCTAGGGTAAGATGTCCAACCCTGGACGCAGACAGATCGCATCCAGGGCTGATCATCTGTCCCTAGCCACAGATAATGGACCTGTGGATTCATGTCATTGCTGTGTATAGGGTGAGCAGCTGCTGCTGTTCACAACAACCTATGATCCCAGCCAAAGGAATCCACAAATTCATTCTGCACATTGACACTTTTGGCCATGTGAATGAGGCCTAACTCTGTCACTAATTTGCTTGATAAATGTCCCCCTATGTATCCTAATTTTGAATCTTGTGATTTGAAATGTACCACGCTCTGCTGTGTTCCCTATATACTGCCACTATGAAGGAATGGCATGCCATTTGGAGTTTTCTTTTTTATATCTTTCAAATTATAGTTTTATTCTTTCATTGTGTTTAAAACTATTTGACAGCTATTATAAGGTGGTTGAGGAACCTTGTACAAAGACTGTGCAATCTGCATGGTTTGGATGTACAG